AAGAAAAGGTGGGATGCAAATGAGACAGACAGTCAGGCAGGGAGACATCATATCTGGCAGCTGGCTCGGCCTTCCCAAATGTTTCCCTCATTGCAAACAGACACCTGCACTTCATACTCTGCTCAGCTTTGCTTAGCTGCAGAATAATTGAGTTGCAGGAAAATGCTACACCAGCAGCAAACTGAAAGACGCATCAGCAAGATGGACACTTGCTTTATATTATATATTCTTTTTCCATTTTTTTAAAAAAGTATTTTTATTTTTTTGCACAACAAAGCATCTATCAGAAAACCAAATGGTGATGCTGTCAGAGTAGCTGTGTGAAAGACTCCTTGCCTGACGAAATTTTGCAAAAGGATAGAAGCCTAACTTTGTGGATGCTGTAGGTAAGAGACTCTTCTAGTCTGTCCAAGACAGACGCCTTCCATTATAGGTTGTGACACGGGTGCTGTGAGCCATGCCTTTTCCAGTTCGTTAAGCCTTCTTAAACACTGCCTGGTCATTCAGGGAAGCAATTTTGCATGGAAGTAGCAAGCTTTGTGTCACACATTGGAAGAATGAATACAAGCCATACAGTGCAAGATATATTCAACTACATTAATAATCCTTCTTTAAATCCTCATTTCTAAGCTTCACAACCATCCAATATAGTGTACGAATATGAAACCTGAGCACGTAATGCAACCCAATTCTTCTCCCCAAGGTCAAACATATTGAGTGTCAGTCTCAATTTCTTTCCTGAAACTGAATTCTGATATCTATCTTTAATTGAAAGTACTGAACACACTTTTAACAAATGAATCCCCAACTTCCAGGCCCTAGTGTCCATTTTTGGTACAATATCAGCTGAAGCATTCAGAAAAATGACTGAGAAATATATGATTAATGAGACATCACTGCTGGGACTATACTGAAAATGTATCTGTGGCAGGTCACAATGATTAAATTATTCAGGATAAAGGGTTCCTTTTTTGTTGTTGCTTCAAGCAACAAACCAATACAAAGAAGAATCACTGAATTCAACAAAGGTTAAGTGTCTTGCTTATTTCTTAGTGGCTTCAATGCAATTTAAGCATTCACAGCTGTGACTATAATTTATGTGGTTAGATTTTTTTTTTCCTTTTGCTTTGGTCAAGGGAAAGTCAGGTTCAAATCCTGGTTCAATTGTGAGGTGAGGCTCACTCGATAAGTCACTATCACTATCCCCTCAGCCTAATCCATTTCACTGTAAAGGCATAGTTGTGCACTGAGCATCTTAGCAGAAGGGCTGGGGTTATAAATATAAAATATAAATTTAAAAATATTTAAAAATCAGAAGGATATATACAAACAGTGCTTGAAGTGGGGAATGGCAGGGGGACAAACCAGAATAGGAAATCAGGATCTGATCCAAAGACTGCACATATGTTTTCACAGAAGGCAGAGAAAACAGTGCTCACTTCATAACCAAAATATCTACACACACTCTTGTTCTCATGTACATCTGCATGCACCCTAATTCTGTCTTTCAAGCATTTAATCTTCTTCTCTGCCTCTTTCAAGTACAGACACTGAAAGCTTCTACTGTGCTTGAACTGACAGACTCTAGAATTGAACATAACTGAGGTTGAGGGCAGCATTTTCTCAGCTCTGGAATTTACTCCCTAGACTTCAAGTTTATTAAACTCCAGGCCATGTTTCAGTATCTTGTGTTAGCTCAGGCTCTTTCTGAAATGCTTGTTTGGGGATTTGGCTTGGCGTTCAAGTTGCTTTGTTTGCTAACATCTACAGCTGGCTGATGTTTGGTGGTGGCGGGGTTATATACAGTGTATACTGAAAACAGGATGAGGCTCCAATGATAGCTTACTTATTTAATAAACAAACAAACAAATTACTATATTATATGCAATGGGACGTGGGTGGTGCTGTGGGTTAAACCACAGAGCCTAGGGCTTGCCGATCAGAAGGTTGGCGGTTCGAATCCCCGCAACAGGGTGAGCTCCCATTGCTTGGTCCCTGCTCCTGCCAACCTAGCAGTTCGAAAGCACATCAAAGTGCAAGTAGATAAATAGGTACCGCTCCAGTGGGAAGGTAAACTGCATTTCCATGCGCTGCTCTGGTTTGCCAGAAGCGGCTTAGTCATGCTGGCCACATGACCCGGAAGCTGTACGCCGCAACCACAGAGTCGTCCGCGACTAGACCTCATGGTCAGGGGTCCCTTTACCTTTTTATATTATTTGCAGTATTTTGATGCAGAAAATTGAGCAGGTTCATTTGTTAAATCAAAGGAATCTTGTGACACCTATTATCTCATCAGCTGCATTGTGGTGGGGGGATACACTGGGGTGGGGGACATTAGACGAAGGTGCATAGGCATGCACCAAAAACCTTTAAAATACAGAAGAATTGATGCTTTTGAATTCTGGTGCTGGAGGAGACTCTTGAGAGTCCCATGGAATGCAAGAAGATCAAACCTATCCATTCTTAAGGAAATCAGCCCTGAGTGCTCACTGGATGGACAGATCCTGATTGAGGGCACAAGGAGAAGGCGAGAGAGAGGACGAGATGGTTGGAAAGTGTTCTCTAAGCTACTAACATGAGTTCGAACAAACTGCGGTAGGCAGTGGAAGACAGGAGTGCCTGGCGTGCTCTGGTCCATGGGGTCATGAAGAGTCGGACACGACTAAACAACAACAATGTATGCATGGAGAAACATGGATTCTTTAGATCAGGCATGTCCAAAGTCCGTTTCAGGGGCCTAATCCGGCCCACTGATCGGTTTAATCTGGCCCCTGTGGCAGTTTATTTCCTGGGGTAAAACTGTAAAAAACCCTCAACAACTTCAATTCTAAAAGAAGCTTAACAACTTCAATCCTAAAAAAAAGTCAACAATTTTGGTTTGCCCTTCAGTCGGCCCCCACAGTCCTTCACTTCATCAAATCTGGCCCTCTTTGAAAAAAGTTTGGACACCGCTGCTTTAGATGGTACGACTACTCATAAAAAACCCTACCCTGGACCAATTGGCCGGTGATAGTGTCTGATAATTTGCTACTACAATGGTACCTTGGTTCTCAAACACCTTGGTATACTCAAACGTCTTGGTTCCCAAACACCAAAAACCCAGAAGTAAGTGTTCCTGTTTTCAAATGTTTTTCAGAAGCTGAACATCTGATGCGGCTGTTGGCTATTGTTTCTGGGGCGCCTGCACCAATCAAAAGCTGCGCCTTGGTTTTTGAACATTAAGTTGGGCACTTTTGTTTTTGCTATTTATATTGCATTTTTGTTTTTGAGGCTTTTTCGGTTAACTTGTTTTTGTGACTGTATGGAACCCAGTTCAGCTACTGATTAATTGACGATTGTGTGACTGCAGAAATGGATAAAAGCCCCCCATCCAAATAGTGACTATCAGTGCAAGTAATATTTTTTTTAAAAAAAATTTATCATCTACAATTCTGTCTTATTTATTTTATAGTACAGTACATTGACTATTGCTTTCATTTTATGGATCAATGGTCTCGTTAGATAATAAAATTCATGTTAAATTGCTGTTTTAGGGGTTGTTTTTAAAAGTCTGGAACAGATTAATCTGTTTTGCATTACTTTCAATGGGAAAGCACACCTTGGTTTTCGAATGCTTTGGTTTAGGAACAGACTTCCGGAACGGATTAAGTTTGAGAACCAAGGTACCACTGTACACCTTTTATTGGGAAAATGATTTAGTGGCTTGTGGCAGAGCAGCTACAGACATTCTTGGATTAACTGATGATCAAGTTGCACCTCTGTCCGAATTCAGACCTGGGTCTTGGTTACCTAGATAGATAACCTTTTTCACAAGAGTGACAAGAAGAGTGAGGCCTTCTCCTCTGTCTCTCTGTGACTTGATATCTACTTCTGATACTCTGAAGTGGTTTCATTGTTAACACAGCTTGTAATCCGTTGCATTTTATAGTCTTATCTTATTTAACTGTGCACTGCTTAGTGTTTTCATAACTTTTTGTTGCAAAACTCTTATATAAATCTGCAAATAAATAAACAAAACAAAAACACAACCCCTAAACCAAGGAGACTAGTAACTGCACAATCTTTAGAAGACATCCCTGTATAGGGAAGTTTTTTTAAAAAATGTTTAATGTTTTTTATTATTTTATATGTGTTGGAAATTGCCCAGAGTGACTGGGGAAACCCAATTAGATGGGCATGGTATAAAGAATGAAATTATTTTAGTATTATTGGTGGCATTATTATTATTATTATTATTATTATTATTATTATTATGGAATAGGACATCCCTGTTTTCACTGGAGAAATGTTGGAGGGTATGTTGCTGTGGAAGGAAAAGTTGAATCTGTGGAGGACTGAACAGTCCCCAAAACCTGGGCTGGAAACTGACACAAAACATAGCACAACAGTGCTTTCGAAAGAGGCTTACAAACACTGCAGTATTCATTAAGATATTAATAAAGGTTTGCAGCACAAAACCAATTACTCACATTTCTGTTTTAATTAAAATCACAGAACATTCTCTGGACTCTGTCTCTTTAATAGACTTGTGGAGGTTGGCTTTTAATTGACACATTTTTCATTCAGGTGACAAACTTTCCAAGGGAGCACATTGGGAGGAAAAATAAGAGGATACATAAATTATTAATCTTTTAAATCAAGTTATAACGGGGTGGGGGGTGGGGACGGGACACAGCTTCCCTGTCTGGATTAAAAAAGTAGCTGAAATATTTAGGATTGCAGGTCAAGCACATGCCTTTAAATGAGGAGTGCCTGAGGAATTTGACTTCTGTGAAGTCCAATGTGAAAGGACTTGATCCACGGCTCTAAAGTGCAGACAGGAATGAAATTATCCTTCAGACTGCACTTCTCCAAATTTTGCAATAGTTTTTGCCTCAAAATATAGCAAAATGTGTTTTGAAATGCCTATTTAGGACAGGAGTGGGAATCCATTTTCAGCCCACAGGCTATATTTCCTGGCTGTTGGTGAGCAGGTCCAGAGGCAAAGATGGGTAGAGCAACTATATAAATTTTACTTTTGTGCAGTAGGGCTAGTGGTTTCACCCATTCATACACTCTCTCTATCCTCTAGCCAAACAAGCAAAGAGGCATAGGCCTGAGAAGCCAAACGCCCAGGCTGAGAAGCAGGGGCACTGACAGTGTGTGGCGTGAGGAGAATTCTGGGAGCCAGATAGAGGTGGCCCTTACCCCTCTTTTCAGTCAAAACATGTTTAGAATTTCATATACTGAGCTATATATATTTGTGTTGCTTTTAAAAAAAAAATGGCAGATTTATGTGAGAACAGGATGGGTGGTGGGGAAGAACTTATGAAGACTGAAACTTGTCCATTCCTCCCTTATATACTGTTTACTACAGCATGAGGCAAGGCAGCTGCCATTTTGCCTCACGTTCCTGAATGGGTCGCATCATCCATGCCGTTTCCCTGCCTGCTGTAAAAAGGAAGACTAAACATGTGCCACACAGTAGGGCAGGAGAGGAGATGCATAAACAAGGGTCAAAGAAAAGCCAAGCCCCAAGTCCCAAGCCCAAAGTATAGTTAAGTGTAAGACACATTCCATTATGTGATTTGTAGGCGTCTTGCTTCCTGCAAAAGTGTATGTTACAATAAGCTGCTGAAATTCGGAGAGGGCCTTAACAGTTTTTTGAGCTCCCCTTAAGTCTTCTTCCTCTGATGGAGAGTCACAGCAAAAGAGCCAATTAATCTAAGTTCTGGCCTATGTGATTTGGTGATTCTGCAAAGGAAGAAGATTCATACCTCCATTTTAGCCCCCTAAAAAAAACACACAACCCCACTCAGATGGAAATGACATTGCGGTCAATTTTCCTCGAGGGCTGATTCAAGAACAATGAATTATTAATCCACATGACAGTTTTCATGATAGGAAGCAGCGGAAAAAAACTGAGGAGGAATTGTGTGTTTTAGAAATTCCCTGTTTGGGCAGGTTTACGTTTAGTTGTAGCTTTTATGAAACTCATTTAAAATTTATTACAACCCACATCTGACAATCCTTTTTATTTATCTGCCTTCAGGATTAACCAAACGTGTAAAAAAACCACACACACAAAAACACCCACCTTTAAAATGAAGCCCAAAGTGCTTTGTACTATTATTGTTGTTGTGGAATATCATTTCTGCTTGAATTATTTTCTTTTTTAAAAATCACTGGACAATCTTATGGCAATGGGTAGATAAGGATTCTTATAAAGAAATAAATCAGGGTGCAACACATCTGAACACAAAGTGGAAGACTAGTATTAAAACAGCCACCCACTCATCTAAACAATCAGTAAGAATGCATGTAGAATTTTGCTTTGTTCAAGGTGAAACTCAACAGTGTACTGAGGTAAACAAAAACAACAGAAATACAAAGCATTTATCTTGAACCCTACTTATCAGCTCAAAAGCCATCTGCATTAGTGCAAAGAGCTTTGAAACACAAAAAGGAGGCTCTCCGTGTTGCCAGTCTCCTTGTACAATTCTGATGAGGTACATAGGGCATTTCTGAAGCATGGACCTAAAACACCCCAGTAGGAGAAGATATCTATAGTTTTGCCGGTGTCAGAAAGTTACCTACATTTAAATGGTGGCAGAAAGACCATATGCAATTGAGAGCAAATGGAATGGGATAAGAGGAAATGACATCACAGGGCTCAATCTAAATTACAAACTATCAACAGTTGAAATAAATCAATATTTTAGTGTGATGGCACCTTGATTTTGGATCTCACTGTCTACTGACATCAGGCAGGCACCTTTGCTGTATTCCTTTTGGTTCCTGCCTCAAACATTTTTGTTTAGGCAAGCCTAGCCAGATACATAGATGTTAACATGTTTTAATCTCTTTTTCTACTGTTAATTTTAATTATTTTTTAAAAAAATTACAATTTTGATATTTCTTGTAAACTACTTAGAGGCTTACTAAAATTAAGCAGTACATAGATTTTGTTAATTAATTAAATATTTCTAAAACTTCCCATAATTATTTTTACCTTCCCACTGTACAATTATTTTCTAGCATACAAGGAAGGCCTTTATTTAATATAAATATTTAAAATAAACATCATTTTCCCCACTTAAGCTATTTGACTTTTTTTACCTGCAGCAACTTCACCACTGATCCAAATTTAGTTCTTTCCATGCTTTCACAATATTTACAATATTTGCACAAGATTATATTTAGTATGTGCTCAGTTTGTAAGATATTCGTTAATTAATATTCTTTATTTCTGCAGGTCTGGAATTTGGAAACTTGCATCAGATCATGAAAGGGCACCAGTAAGAACTGAAGTGAATCAATTAAGCTTGTTTCTATGAAGCCTGCATTGGAATCTGATGGGTAATCGGAGCACTTACATACAAATTTAGTTAGCAGATTTCATAGAATCATAGAGTTGGAATAGACCACAAGGGCCATCGAGTTCAACCCCCTGCCAAGCAGGAAACACCATCAGAGCACTCCTGACATATGGTTGTCAAGCCTCTGCTTAAAGACCTCCAAAGAAGGAGACTCCACCACACTCCTTGGCAGCAAATTCCACTGTCGGACAGCTCTTACTGTCAGGAAGTTCTTCCTAATGTTTAGGTGGAATCTTCTTTCTTGTAGTTTGGATCCATTGCTCCGTGTCCGCTTCTCTGGAGCAGCAGAAAACAACCTTTCTCCCTCCTCTATATGACATCCTTTTATATATTTGAACATGGCTATCATATCACCCCTTAACCTCCTCTTCTCCAGGCTAAACATGCCCAGCTCCCTTAGCCGTTCCTCATAAGGCATCGTTTCCAGGCCTTTGACCATTTTGGTTGCCCTCCTCTGGACACGTTCCAGTTTGTCAGTGTCCTTCTTGAACTGTGGTGCCCAGAACTGGACACAGTACTCCAGGTGAGGTCTGACTAGAGCAGAATACAGTGGCACTATTACTTCCCTTGATCTAGATGCTATACTCCTATTGATGCAACCCAGAATTGCATTGGCTTTTTTAGCTGCCGTGTCACACTGTTGGCTCATGTCAAGTTTGTGGTCAACCAAGACTCCTAGATCCTTTTCACATGTACTACTCTCAAGCCAGGTGAAGGGCTCTTGTTTTCTTTTATTTGCTAACTTACAAAACAGGAAATACAATGTGGTCTACAAGGATATTTTAACAAGTGCTATTATAATCAGAGGCTAAGACCTTATTCACACTTTTGCCAAGAAAGCACGGGTCCTAGAGGTTTTCTGCTAGAAGGCACAGGTCTGAGCAGTTATTCATTTGCCCCACAGTTTTATCCAGGAAAACCCGCTGTTTACCACTGAATCGGAAGAAACATCAATCCTCAGAAAAGCCAACTACAGTGGATGCTCGGGTTGCAAACGTGATCTGTGTGGGATGCAGCGGCGCGTCTGTAGATGCGAAGGTTGCGATTCGACGCTTCTGCACATGTGCAATGTGTGATTCGGTCTTCTGCGCATGCGCGAGCCCCGAAACCCAGAAATAACCCGTTCCAGTACTTCCGGGTTTTGGCAGGTCCGTAACCTGAAAAAACGCAACCTGAAGCGTCTGTAACCCGAGGTATGGCTGTAATGTTTGTTGCAATTCAGCGGTAAACAGTGGGTTTTCCAGAAGGAAAGTAGTGGGGAATTATCTCACAATGGAAACATGAAACCTAGAACTGGCCAACCAAAAATTTGTTGTCACAAGGGTCTCCTCCTCCAGGAGGAAGGGTGTTAGCCTTGAGCTTGTGCTAAGTCTCAAAACACAGCATGAGGTTACTGGAAAATCTGTTCCTCTTTCCAGCTCTAAGTTTGGACCAGGGGTGGGGTGGGAGTGGGGAGTAGCAGAAAACAAGCTCAGAGCTGGAGGTGCAAACCTAATGGGCACTGCCAACCCCCGAGTGCCCCTTAGGCACAGAGGCAAGCCCACAGCACTGTCTCATGTCTCCATTTCCAAGTTGAGGAGAGGGTGCAGTCATGTAGATTTGATTTGGTGTGTAGCTTCGGCCTTAGACTCTTTTCACTTTCCAGAGCTTGGCTTCCCTCTCACCATAGCAAGGAGAGCAAGACTATTGAAGCCTTAATATGCACAAATGGTGTTGTATGTATTTATGGTTCATTTCAGCTGGGGATGGAGATGAAGGAGATTAAGCTAAAGGCTTCATGGAAGAAATGAGGTTTGAGCTGTGGCCTGAAGGATGTGACGCCATGCAGAAGTTCAGGGAGGGTGTTCCAGCACCAAAGGTATGATGAAGGATGAAAGTGACAAAAGGGAAAGAGATATCTATAATAAGGGAGCACATAGAGAAAAGAGCCAAAAGAAAGAAAGAGAAAGAGAGCAAAAAAAATATTACAAATGGTTTTTTAAAAACCCAGACTGGAAGAAATGTCATGCTTTTAAATGGATAAAATTACTGGGTTGGAAATTTTTGCAAGTTCTAAGTGTAATTTTCAATACTAGTTTTAATAAGAACATATGAGTCACCAGAAAAGTGAACTTTCTGTACCCTTTTCACAGCTCCAGTTGCAATATACATCAAGAAGTGCAAAAACATGTAGAAGTCAAGAGCAAAATAATCAGCCAAATTGTTGAACACATTAAAGCAGACAGAGTTTGCAATTTGGACTGAGGCCTTTGCTGCGTTTGATATCATCTCTACAGTTAGTAGAGACACTATAATTCTGAAGTATGCTGGATGCTGGGAGTGAAAAATTAGGCAAAGGCTACTGCCATTGTGCCTTGCTTAAGGGCTTTATAGAGCAGGCATGTCCAAATCCCAAGAGACTTCAATCTACTCCCAGTATAAAAAAACAAACTGGCAGTGATCTACCCATTGTCAATGGATGGTTGAGCTTTTTGGGGGGAGGATTGCCCACAGTTGGTGAGCTGTTTTTAGGGGAGAGTGCCCAGAGTTGGTGAGCTTTTTTAAAGAAAATCACAGTTGACCCGTTGAACATGTCTATCCTTAAAAAAAAAGTAAAGGACCCCTGACAGTTAAGTCCAGTCACGGACGACTCTGGGGTTGCAGCGCCCATCTCGCTTTACTGGCCAAGGGAGCCGACGTTTGTCTGCAGACAGTTTTTCCAGGTCATGTGGCCAGCATGACTAAGCCGCTTCTGGCAAACCAGAGCAGTGCACGGAAACACTGTTTACCTTCCCACCGGAGCGGTACCTATTTATCTACTTGCACTTTGACGTGATTTCAAACTGCTTGGTTGGCAGGAGCAGGGACCGAGCAACGGGGGCTCACCCCGTCACACAAATTCGAACCACCGACCTTCCGATCGGCAAGCCCTAGGCTCTGTGGTTTAGACCACAGCGCCACCAGCATCCCATGTCTATCCTAGAGGCAACAAATTAATCACTGTAGGAAGCAGTGGACTAAATGCGCACAATTTGGTTGGGTCATGAATGGCTTTTCCTACCATAAAGAAGTCTTACCTCATTTGGGTCTTGCTGGTCTCTCAAAGCGATCATATTCTTAATGGCATTGATAAAAAATCCATTCACCTCATCTCGTTTCTTATTTGGCAAAATCTGAAGCAGGGGGACCATTACGAACGGAAATGCAACTTTAAGAGAGTTTCAAAAAACAAACAAACCATCATTAGCTATTAATGCAAATATCCACAACACCTAAGTATATGGATTTCCTTTCCTTTCAGAGTTTTTAAAATAAAAAATACTACTGCTTTCTTATGTTGTCATTGTTGACTAGAGGGTCGCATATACTTTCTCAGATTACTCCGATTACCGAGATGAACACATGGTTGTAGGACGCATCTCATACATTTCTCTAATTTACAATATTAGAGCTGGGCAATGGGAGTTGAAGTCCAAAATCATTTGGAGGGCATTAGGTTGGGGAAGGCTGTTCTACAGAGAAATAGGATTCAATGTGTGTTCAGGGTTCTGCAACATTGCAATGTATGCCATAGCACACTTAATTCATTATGAGGCTTTTAAAAACACACATACACTTTACAAACCAACCTGCAAGGTAAGACAGCTCTGAGAATGTGACTGGAAGGTTACATTAATTCAATTTCCATCATCCCTTTTCATTCTGGAAAGCAGGGTGCCTCATTTAATGCCCTATTAAAGCTTATATATACTTCTCCAAAGAGACTAACTGCAGCAAACTGTATTTACAGACTCTTGAGACAATCACAAGGTTTGTCTCCGGGCTGCAGGAAAGTTTTGTGTAAATGTACCCTTTAACTAAGTGAACCATTAAATAGAAGGTCACTAAATGTTTCTGGTGTGTTTTTTTTCAAATGAGGAATTTGCCCCGAAGTATTTTTCCCTTCATAGGAACTACCTTGCTGCATAATATTCATAAAGCTTGAGTTGTGTGCATGGCACAAATCTGAGACTTGATCAATTGATTCCTATAGTAAACCGGTAACTGCCTTAAACTGGAGAACAATAAATTCCAATTCTACACACTGAGTGGCTATTGTTATAAACAATTAAATGGACTAACATGCTAGATAGGTGTGTCAAATGGAGAGAGAGAAACTCCATCTACACAGAAAGGTGGAGTGCAGCACAATTCTATGAATGTGTGATTGGATGGATCTTGGGTTCATCTTTCTGGATACCCAGAAGCCAAGCAGGGCTGGGTGGAGTTAAAAATTAGACCCTGTAGTTAACCTGTCAGGTAGTGCTTGGTAAGAGTCAGGAATAGATTTAGAAATGGTTTACCAAGGGATTACCTGGGTGGTTAGGGATTTGCTAGGCAGGGCAAGTCAGTTTATTTCCTTGAGGGAAAAGAAAAGATCCTACAAGGGGCTGTTGTAAGCGTTTTACTGGTTTAGTAGAACAAATGCCCATTTTAGGAGGAATCAGTTTAATCAGAAACCGGTTTAAAGTTGAAGTCTTAAGTAAAGTTATTGATTTAATTCTGTAAAGTGATTGTGACTGAAACAAAGTATTCTGCCTCATCCAAGTATCCATTAAGTTTTAACCCTCATAGATTGCATATAAATAAAATTCTTCTTTTGTTTCCAACATGCCTCATCATTACTTTGATATTGTTAAGGGATAAGCAGTCACGGGTTTTGCTTTCATGTTTTAGTAAATGCTACCACATAAAGAGAATTTCAGCCCTCTCAAGTGTTACTGACAGGGAGCACCTAAGTTTTTAAAACAACCCAAACCTGTCCACGCTACACTGCTGGTGGCAAGAGTGCATAGGATTGTAGCCCTTGCCTATTGTTATCCCTGTTATGGTTAGTTACATCAAAAACAAAAATAATTGAAACTAATCTTCTTGAACTCCACTGCTCTTTACAATTTGGGGGGGGGGAGGATCATCACCATACATGTCTTAAGGAGTAGCAAATAAATGATAACATGGATACATTATCTGTTTTAACCATTTTTCCAGTCTGAATGTCTGAATGCCTACCTGAACGTTAAGATCCTCTTCTGAAGCCCTGCAACAGGTGTCCCCAGTACTGAATGACTGCCACCCTGGATAACCACCAGAGAAAGGACCTTTTAAATCCCAGCACCTCAGTTGTGGAGCAGGCTTCCCAAGCATGATTGCCTGGGGCAATCCTTCTTGTGTTTCTGGTGCCTAGTGAATACCTTTTTGTTCACACAAGGCCTCTTAAATGGCCTCCATTTTTCATTGTTCAGTTTGGGGGTGCAGTGAGTTTTTGTTTTCTTGTGGTACTTTAGTAATTTTTAATCTGATGTATTTGTGATTATTCTGTATTTAAATTATTTTTACTTACTTACTGTAAACTGCCCAGAAAATTTAATATGAGGTGACACACAAATGCCACACACAAATAAACAAGCTCATTTTTTAATCTATTTAGGCTGAAATCCTGTACCCACTAACCTAGGAATGGGCCCTATTGAATTCAATGGGCATATCTCTAGCTCTGCATGACCTAAACCCAGGCACTAATTAAGAATTCACTGTGTAGTTACAGTACACACATCTATTCAGAAGCCTCTTTGTATTTAAAGGGGTTTACTCCCTAGTAAGTGGGTTCACAACCTAATCTTTGGTTTAGGGTTGGCAATGGGGGGGGGGACAGGTTAAGCATTTTCTATTTGGAAATTTATGGGGGAAATGTCACCATGACTGTATTATCGAATTTCATGTTATACACTGTTCTCATGCTCTCTCAATATTTGCATAGTGCCCACTAGTCCAAAAAAGGTGTGTGACCCTTAATTTAACTGTATTAATACATTCTTCTTTTACACATGTTTGAGGCCCTTGCATAATCTTTCTTCTTCCCTGTTGCATTCTAAACCACTGTCATGGACAACTTTTGGTTTGTAACAAACAATTGCTTAAAGAAAAAAATAGGAACAGTTGGAACGTGTACAGAGCACTGTGATGTTATACTTACTGGCTAGGATTAAGATGGGTTTAAATAATGAAAGTTCAAAGAATCTTCTGGTGTTCTTAACAAAAGCATCCTCAGGATTCTTCTGGGAGTCCACATGGGTACCAAAAGCCACACTAGCAACAACATCCAGGGTAAAGCTACTGTAATTCCTGTAAAAGATTTAAGAAGGTTGCTGTTGAACTGCAGTGTTTGTCACCCCACGTTTCTGTTTCTGCCTTTGTTGCAAAACTGTCTCCTAGGGTTTATTTTTCTGAGCCTATTTAAGACAATTTGAGTTTTTATATGTGCCAAGCCTTTTAAAGATTCATTTCAGGATGATATGTCAGGAGATATTTATAAAATGAAAAACTAAGCACATTATCTTCTGAAGTTGATTGTGAATAATATTTATACCTTTCATTTTTTCAAATGGTAAAGAAGTTGTACTTTTAAACTACAAAATTGAATGTATACTTGCTAATAATTCTAAAGACAACAAACTCCCCATTTTCTGAATCTGAGTTTTGCAAAAATTCTGGGGCTGGTTCACACATAGGTGTTTATCTGATGATGACTGCAACATCAAGTGATAATTGCATTTGTGAATGGGCCAACGTAAAAATCGTCAGTGGCAGATCTTACACAGAACCTAAAATGGCACACATTATGATGTAATCAGTCTACAATTAAGCTGCCAGTCGCCAGGCATACAGTACTGAGTACAGAGAAATAAAAATATATAAATACATACATAACACACACACACGGTTGCGTTTTCACTCTTCACTCCCACCATGTAGCATCATGTCAGTGCTGACATAGGAAAATGGAAGTCAGATTTATGCTAAGTAAGAACACAATCCTAACTACCTGAGTAGTAGAGCTGGCGGGGGTATCAGCAGAAGTGTTTCTCTGCTGGGCTCTGCGGCTATGGAGACCCTTGCTGAATCCACCAAAAGTGAGAGCAAGCAAGAAGCTATGCTGGCAGTGTTACTGGTGGTGCTGGATCTTAGTCTGGACCTTTCCTGAAGAGGGGCCTGATTGGGGTTTCTCTGCTGCTGCAGCCTGGAGCTAGCACAGCAAAAAGAAAAATGCCCCACTTTCTGCCCTGGCCAGCAGGAACTGGCAGGGCTCAGATGTGACAGAGGATCACCTATTCCATGGCTCCCCAGCCACTCTTAGGACTGCTCTGTTATATACTAGCTTATCAGGACCTGCATCTGGAAACTGAATGAATAGCATAAAATCTTTTCTCAACCACAATCTTTTGCCCAACCGCAATCAACAAGCAGCAGTAAAAGAGGCAGAATCTGCAAAAGGAAGCTTTCAATTAACACTGGAAAGGATCTTTGTCAAACGGGTCTGAGTTATGAAGACGGATTGCTTCAAGAAACCATAGTTAAAGATGGACCACAGTTTAGGGTTCAGATGTGGTGCTAAACTGTGATTAATTTAAAAAAATAGAAGCGGAATTCTAATTTCCCTGTAACTGTGGCATGAAAAGGAGAGGAAAGAGGGAGGGGAATGTGTGAGCCCAAGTCTTGCCTAGGCTCACTCCTATCAGGATAAACTATGGTTTATCACAATGGCTGGATGCAGCCACTAAGAACATTCTCCCCCTGCCCCCCACGGATGTTACAGGCAGCTACAGATTAGATACTCCACTACAATTACTTTTGCTTGTAATTGCTACTGTTAAAATATTGTGCTGTAGTAAAACAAGGGGGGGCAGATATAATCATTTGAAAGTGACAATGTCCACATCAAGACAGAAAAATTAAAAACTCCATTTGTAAAATAATTGCATACTTAGAATAGCTTGGCAAATCAAGTACCTGTAAAAACTTCCCTCGCTTCTAATTTATTAAAGTACCTTTGGATGTCAAAAGCTGTGCCAGAATCTGCATAGACCTTTAAGTTACTCAGCAGGATGTCACATGCCTGGTTGATTAGCGGCACCATCTAAAAAGGAGCACATGCACACGGTGTAATTAAAAAACACACAATACATTTCTCTACATTAATTGCATACTGCAGGAGGTAAGTGCTCTCAGGAGCTCCTGAATCAGTGGATAAAGTCGTTTTCTTAGGGAGGTTTTACACACGCGCAAACGCGCGCGCACACACACACACGAACAAATACACGTTCCAGTGATAACATGCTCTCTGTCCAAGACTGATGGCCACAGGAGATGGTTCCCCTGCTTTCTTGTTTCTGTTGTGGCTGCTCACTGCTCTTGGACGAGAGAATAGGCTGGGACATTCGTGACAAATGGAACCTGTAACTGTAGGGTTGTACAATCTGTTTACCCCAAGCTGGAAGGGGCAACTGCCATGGGAAATGAGAAGCCTCTAGGAGTGTGTGTGTGTGTGTGTGTGTGAGAGAGAGAGAGAGAGAGAGAGAGAGAGAGAGAGAGTGCACAGTGGCTGCTATATTGCCAGAGTTTGTTATGTGGCATGGAGATGCAGGGCTCTACGTGCACTTGGCACAGATCTGCCCTCTGTCGATCAGCACAAAGACAAGTGCATGCACAGCTTATCTTCTGCCACCTTTGAAGAGGAAGGAAGGAAGAGATCCCTTTGCATGAAAGCGAGAGCAGGCTCTGCCGCTTGTGTTCTCAACTAGGATCAATTGCTTACACTAAGCAAGCAGCTGACTGGCCATTGCTAAGCCTGCACCAAAACTCATATGGTCAGAACACTGCTAATTTGTCTACTAGCTTACCAGCGACCAGTGCTAAGTTGCCTTTAGCTAGCCTGTGGCACCATCACTGAGAACATCTGGAAACTGAAATGGATATCCCCCAAAGCTTCATTTGCATAGCTCAAATTATGACTTTCAAAAGGACTCCCTCCTCAGCTCAGCCAAGCAGGTTTTCTTATACAGTGATACCTCGGGTTACATACGTTTCAGGTTACATACGCTTCAGGTTACAGACTCCGCTAACCCAGAAATAGTGTTTCAGGTTAAGAACTTTGCTTCAGGATGAGAACAGAAATTGTGCTGCGGTGGCAGCTGGAGGCCCCATTAGCTAAAGTGGTGCTTCAGGTTAAGAACAGTTTCAGGTTTAGAATGGACCTCCGGAACGAATTAAGTACTTAACCCGAGGTACCACTGTTTTTAATACGCCTTGTTTAGACCTTCTAGAAGCTTATAAGGGGCCAATGACAGCCCCCTCCCAGCCACCCTCCGTCCATCCATCTGAGGGAAAGGATTTCTCTGCTAACATAAGAGTGTACTCCTCTGCTCAACCGCACCCCTACCCCAATATAAACAACTTGCTGCCTCCAGATAAAGGGAGGGAATTTTTCTACAAGGCTGCCCCGTTATCTATCAACCTTTGCTGGGTAACTTTTTATACCACAAATGTTCTGGTTTGTTTGTTTGTTTTTGTCCTGCCTTTGTTTTGCTATAGCCCCTCCAACAGCAATAAAATGGCACCATTGGGAAAGGTGGTGGTTGAGTATCTTAGATGGTTTTAAAAAATGGAATTAGGGAAAACAGTTTTGAGGTCTTTTTAAATTAAATAAATTAAATAGTTTTTAAAAACCATGGCATATAAAGCTATCAATGGGTACAAATCATGATGGTTCAGAGTAAGCATGCCTCTGAATCACCAGCTAGTAGGGAACAGCGGTGAGAGAAGTCTGTCACCCTTATCTCCTGCTTGTGACCTTTACAGAGGCATCTGACTGGTAGCAGCTGGAAAACAAAATGTTCCACTAAATAGGCCTTTGGTCTGTTCCATCAGGCTCTTATGGAGTTCTTAACACAGAGAGGAGAAGGATCAAACTCACCGCTTCATCTTCTGCACTTTGATCAGTTATTTGCGTACAAAGGAACATGCATTATACCAAGTCAAGCCATTGGTCCATGTATCTCTGTATTGTCTACACTGACTGCATCTCTCCAGAATTTCAGGCGGTGGCCTCTGCCAGCCCTACCAATCCCAGCCAGGGGCTGAAACCTCAGAACTTCTGCATGCACCGTCAATGCTCTCCCAGTAAGCTATGGGCCTTTTCCATAGATACATAATTGAGAACCCTGCTAAAAGCAGGGTCTCCCAATCATGCTGAGGAGCCTAGGCACATACAATATATGATTAATATTAGTGCTATTTTCACGTATAGACCACCCTTCATCAAAAAACCCTAGGGCAGTGAACAATCCATAATAAAATTATAAAATACAAAATTCCATTATTATAACTTATAAAAACCTAAAACATCAAAATCACAAATTTACGTTTCACAATAATGATCCGGCGGCTGGTAACTTGGTGCAATAGTATAACTCAAAGGCCTGTGTTATAAGTGTGTAGAGTTTGTGCACACGGGCCAATGGGTTGTGGGATGAAGGAGTAGTGCCGTGTATTAATCTGCTCCTTGATTTGTTGGTTTAGCCAATGTGCAACTCCGTATTCTTCTACAGGCTTTCAGTTCCTTTGCGCCTCTTCCTTGTGGACCTTGCAACACCCCACTGCCTCAAATGATTCTGCTCTTTCCCTATCATTTTAATTTGCCTGCCACCCACAGTAGCATGCTGCTAGCTTACTGTTTTTCTTTTGTTTTAGTTATCCTTGCCCTGGTTCTCTTCCAGCTGACCCCTTTTAAACATTTCCATAATCATCCCTTTTCATCTGCCAGTCATGTCTTCTTGGCAAAGATGCCTATCCTACAGTGCTCCCTGACAGCTCAAGAATTACTCGCAGTCAATCTCATCTCCAGAACAGGAAACAATCATAATTTACTTTTTAAGAAGAAAGGGGGGTGGGGAGAAAGATGGTAGGATATCAAATTTCACAAGAATCATCTTGCTTGACAAACACTTCAACAGACGGAAAGCTCGCATGCTGTCACTAACAGGACCAGGACAGTCCAAAAATGATGTCATTGTTACCTATTGTGCATTTCCCGTTTTAGACCTTGGGTTTTGCCAAACAGCATGCAGCAGTCAAATAACCTGTCCATGGAGGGGAAATGATCTCAACTTCTGGGCATTTGGATTGGCTGTTTATGACATAACAAAATAAAACATAAGCAATATGCTCACTGCAAATATTTGATCTGCCAATTATCTCATGTCACTGCTGTCTCGGCACCAAAGTTCTGCCAAACAAGACTGCAGGAGTCTGTTGGTGTCAAAAACATTATGGCATAATCCTGCCAGTACATGCCTTGGCACTTCATTCTTCATATGGGCATTTTACAGGAGTGCTTGTTTATGCCACTCTAATGTCAGCACCGTGATCTTCTAATCAAATGTTGTTTTAATTCTAAAAATGGTTATCTACAAAACTGTGCTGTGATTGTTAATAACAGAATAAAATTGCTACCTTTGAGTATAATGCCCAGATCAAGGAAGTAATAGTACCATTTTATTCTACCATGGACAGACCCAAACTGGAGTGCTGTGCCCAGTTTTGGGCACCACAGTTTAAGAAGGATATTGAAAAGCAGAGGAGGGCAAGCAATAAAAAAACAGTCAGGAAACCAAGCCTTATGAGGAATGATTGAGGGAGTTGGACACGTTTAGTCTGGAGAAGAGGGAAAATATTCACAAAGTTTATTTCCAGCAAATTCTATTTCCACAGTTACGCCCACTCCTCTTTTGCATTTGTGTGGGTAGCTGTTACTCCTTAGGGTCTCCATGTGTCTCCTAGACTTTCAGCTGATGATACTGTTACATGCCACCCCAATCTCTGAGATGTGAGAGACTCCAGGGGTTCTGGGCTTAGGACTCAATATCCTTGTAACAAAGGTCATTGCAGAGCGGTGTATTTGGGATGTATGGTTTTATTCACACCCATTTGCTTCTATAGCACAGAGCAAATTCTTTGCATAGGCTAAATCATGATACTTAGTTGCCGACCAAAGCCACTACCTTGACAGGTTTCCTCTTATACCTTCTACCATCACAGGTACAGGATCACAGGTTCTGGAAGGGGACCCAGTGGTATAGCATGGGCTGCCAGCACCCGGGACTGCGTGGAGGGGTGGGCAGGAGGGAGAGTAACAGAAGGAAAACATATGCACATTCAACTGCCTAACAGAGTCTGCATCACCTAGAAGATCACAGCCGCAGAGATAAGAAGAGTCATTCCATTGTCTGGAGAGGTCACTTCCTGGTTTGCATGGAGTAGCTGTTTTCAGCAGAGCCCAGTGATGGAAGTGTGCAGCTATATTGAGACAGTGCTGGGTGTTGAATTTTTTGCCCCTAACAATTTTATGCCTGGGCTTACTGCCCTGTGGGCTGCCCCCATCCCACTACGCCACTGAGTGGACCCAATGTTTCATCCAAGCTGACCAAACTCACAGCAATACATTGCACTTGTTCTTGGCAGGAATAGTTCATGTTGTGTGATCAAGGGAGAGGAATCCCCACCCTATTAAATGCCAGGAAGCAACAGGGGTGGCAGGAGGTACAGTGGCTAACTAAGTAGCCACCCTTACTGATGCCAGCAACCTGCATCCGTGCCAGTGGTAGAAATCCAGCCAATGAGCTTGCATTTGCACAGTGCAGTGCAAGGGCACCTGGAACATATAGGTAAAGGTGGAGATTCCTCCCTTCCCCTTGACAGCCTTGCAGCAGCAGCAGCTCACTGTTTCAGCTAGTGGCTAGTTAATATCTACGAGTTTTGCAATTGGATTTCTGTGAATAAAACTATCATGGCTGAGTCCGCCCTTAAGGTAGTATCTGGCCAGAGCCTTGGAATGCTAATAGGTTAGGATATTCAGGTGATGCCCCTAAATGGGAGCTAATATTTAGAAGATTGCTTCCAGAGAAGGGGAGAGCAAGAATACATTTTCTTCCTCCCTCCTAGCTATGAACGATGCAATCCAGTTCTGTGTGTGTGTCCACAAAAGAATCAGACTGCAGTTTAGCGGTCAGGAAGAAAGAGAGGGATGGTTAAGCTGAGTTTAGGGGGCTCTGTAAACTAACAGCATCTAGGAATGCAGAA